GAGAGAGAGAGAGAGAGAGAGAGAGAGAGAGAGAGAGAGAGAGAGAGAGAGAGAGAGAGAGAGAGAGAGAGAGAGAGGTTGCTCGAATGGAAGACTGGCCATTTGTGGCGTCAGAGGGCGGCATGGGAGGTGAGGGACACGTGGGCGACGAAGAATGAGTGAGTGGGAGGGAGGTGGGTGCCACGTGGCCGACAAAGAATGAGTGAGTGCGCGAGGGAGACCAGAAGTCGTGTGTTGTCGAGGTCTCTTCTCGAAAGCGGGGTGAGACCTGAGCCACGTGGCGCCCTGTTGTACTACGGCGGGTCAAGAGTCGAAGGAGGGAGGGAGGGAAGGAGGGAGGTGTTACTCATCCGGCGCAGATTGGTCGGAATTCAGCAGCTATGGCGGCGCTTGGACTTCGCGCCGACACTCTTTATCTTTCGAAGTCGATGCTTCGCAGTTCTGCCGCGATGCATGCCGTCATGGAACACATCTCGGCTCCCATATCTCGAGATATTGTCTTACCGAAGGTAAGGGGAAGAAAGGTGGGGGGGCGAGGTGAGCTTCTCTGTTTCCTCCTCCTTTTTCTGTGTCTTTTTTTTCTCTCTGTGTGGTGTCCTTGCTCCCCGCATCTCCCTCCTCGTCCTCCTCCTCCTCGTCCTCCTCCTCCTCCTCCTCCTCCTCTTCTCCCTCGGTCCTGATGCCTTTCTCTGGCTGCTGCACAGTGATCCTGTTCTGGAATTTCCCGCCGTCGTCTCTACCAACCGATCCTCGTGAAATGGTATTTAACTGATGACTTCCCCAAAAAACCTTCATGACCTTAAGCTGAGGAGATGGCCTGGGAGGTTCGCCGGTCGTCTTCTGCACGCGTGTCACGACAGCTGGCCTCTTTTCTGTTTGATTATGGAAGCACGAGGTCGGCGGGGTGATCCGCGTGAAGGAACCGACGGACGATTTACGAAACCCATGCCATTCCTTCAATCTCGGGGGAAGAAGTGGACATGGAAAAAGGAGGAAAAAAAAGAGAAACGGAAAAAAAATAAAAACGAATAAAAGAAAAAAATAAAAATAAAAAACGAAGGCAACGAAAGGAACGCAAAGAAATGATCCAGCGGCCTAGCTCAGTTCGTAAGGCTCGCAAGTGGCATTCAGGGTGACATCGAAATTCTTTACCAAAATAAAAATTAAAATAAAAATTAAAATTAAATTAAAAATTAAATAAAAACAAAAAATAAAAATAAAATTCAAGTCCTTCGGGACATCCGTTAAAATTGGAACGATACAGAGAAGATTAGCATGGCCCCTGCGCAAGGATGACACGCATAAAAAATAAAATTCAAAAGAAAATTCAAAATAAAAATAAAATTTAAATTTAAATTAAAAAATAAAATTTAAATTTAAATTAAAAAATAAAATTTAAATTAAAAAATAAAATTTAAATTTAAAAATAAAATTTATTTTTAATTTTGGGGTAACTACGGCGCAGGTATTGGGTTCAATGATTCAATCCCCATTGGCCTCATGTACCTTCCTGGGCAAGCTTGGCACCCGGCACCTGGGGCCAAGTCCCACTAGCAGCGTTGAGTATGCTCAACGCCTGAATCTGGACGCTTTTACGGAGATGTGCAGAAATGGTGTTGAGTTTCCTGAACTGCACGTCTCCACAAACACGTCCAGATTCAGGCGTTGAGGTAGCTCAACGCTGCTAGTGGGACTTGGCACCTGGAGATAGGCCGTTGGTGCCCCCGAGTGGCATGGCGCACTGACTGCTTATGTTCATAGCGAAATGCGGCGCAGAGCTCCTCTGCCACGTCATCATCTCGATCAGATCCGTATCCGGCGAGATGAAGGGGGGCATTGTAGTTGTACCCACTTTTAATTTGGATTTTCTGTTATACCCCTGGGACGGAGGCCAAACTTGTTGCTATATCTCAGAACCCTGCTGCGCAAATTTTTGGTGTGCCCGGGGATCGTTTGGGACCATGAAATTGTCGTTATACCCAACCACGGAAATACTTGGAATTGTCAAAGTACCCATGATCCAAGTGGACCGTGCAAATTGTTCTTATACCCCTGTGCCCGTGATGCAAATTGATCATATACCCACGTGTAGCCCTCTCGCTCGCTCTCTCTCAGAAACTTTTGCAGGTGTGCATGCACGTGCCCTCCCCCTCCCCCCCCCACACACACGAGAGGCGGTTAACGGAGACCCAAAACACACACACACACACACACAGAGAGAGAGAGAGAGAGAGAGAGAGAGAGAGAGAGAGAGAGAGAGAGAGAGAGCTCAGCTGGATGTACTGATGGAGATTGTGCGACTTAAGGTCGAGTTGGACTGGATGGAAAATGTTGTATTCATTGCGGAGATCTTTTGCTGTCCACCCTGTTAATGTGAGACCACGGGGCTCTCTCCACAACTCTCCAAAGATGTGGAACATGAGAATGAATCTCCGGCTCGAACGTGGAAAGATACGGCCACCATATTTTTGTTTTTTTTTACATTTGGTGAGTGGTGGAGCGAGGTCCCATCTGTGCGAGTTTTAACTGTGTTGTGCAATTTGCAATTCCTGTTTTGTCAGAGTTATTATGGAACCAAGTCTAGGCGGAGATCTGAGTGCGGGGAGTCGAAGCACATCTTTGAACCAAGAATAGGAGGATGTCATTGGCCGTCTGTTTCCGTTGGCATGAGAGGAATGAAAGAGCCAATCTTGCCGGTAAGCCTCTACGATAGCAACCACCCTGCACAAGTGCACTGTTTTCTGGACCCGATTCACTCAAAAAGTTGGACTCTTCCGAATGCACCTGGTCCAAAAAGCGTCCAAATGCATGTAGAGTGTTGTGTAGAGGAGGGAGGCTCTGTGAATCAGAGTTGTTTTTGTGTGCAGCTACCTTCTGAGGCTCGTTAGGTCCCAATTGCCCTATTCACCCGATAGGAACAGCCGATCATTATACCTGTATTTGGTGCACCTTTCAGTCCAGGTGTGTGGCAATAATTACCGGGGGTGCGTTCTATTGGGGTGAAACCCGGGTTAGTCCATTTCATCATAATATTACACTAGAATGCTTTCAAGCTAATTTGGCGGTGCTTGTTGGCAGATACAGCCAGGAAAGGACAAGTATTGAGTGCACCCTACGAAAAATGATTTCTTCTTTTCTTCTTTTTGAAAAATTTTAATCTTTTGTATTTGAAAGAGAATCAGAGGCCCGTGGGGACCTCACAATTCAACCCGGGGCTCGGTCCCACCTTGGCATTTTCGTTCTAGGAGGCTACAGGCTACAACGAAGAGAATGGCGTGCGCCCAAGGACCATGGATTGACACAATCCATGGTCCCCAGACGCCCGCCAGTCGCTTTGTGGTAGCTTCCTACAACGGAAAGGCACAGGTGGGACTGAGCCCCCGGATATTACTGGCTTTGCTGGAAACCGGATCCAGCATCCCATCTTACAACAAAAGCTTCCCGGACTTAAACCACCTGTACTTGGCCCAGCTATCAGCCACGGAAAAAGAAAGAGTAGAAACGTTTCTAGTCGGATGAATTTGGGCGCTCCTGTAGTAGCCCGTATTTTTCCTAAAATAGTGGCGCGTTAATGGGCACAACTCTAGGAAGTACTGGTGGTTTAACATGAAGCTCTGAGAAAAAAATCGTACCACATTACAAGCACCTACAAGCACTGACAACTGCTATAAAGCCCTGTGAAATTGGGTCTAAGACCACCTCCACACTTGTCCTAACATGGAGATAACTCCTCAACAATGCAGCATGTGAATGCTTATTAATCCCACAGGCCTGCTATCCACGGAGACAGAACTAACTTGCCCTCTGGAGTTGAGAGCTGCAGTTCTGTTCTTTTTATCGCCTATGCAGACTTTTCCCAGAAAAAAAAGATTTGAAGGTCCTCTCTGTGGTTGCTCTGATGGCATCTGATAGTCAGTACAATGCCTATCCTTTCTGCTGTTTTCCTGTTTTCTACTTTAGTTCTTCTGGGCGATATTTATCTTCTGCTGAATAGGCGTCGTTTCTCCGTTGAAGATTCTCGCATTCCTTGCCGTCCAATTAACTTCCATCAGGACCCCTTGCCGTACCAGGGCGACTTAGCTAGCCCCAGCCTGAAGTAGCGGTGGTGGTGGGTCGCTGTGCTGATTGTAGCGAAGTGTGCGTTGAATTGCCGTGCCCATGTGGTGTTGTGTGTGGTGTAAGTGAGTTGGACACTACAGCCTTTCAGGGGTGGGGTGGATATCACCACGGGTATGGTTCCACCATACCACTTTTGAACACCATGTCCTGGCTGTAGCGGTTAAGAGACAGTTCCTGTGGCTGAGGGTGAGACCGTGCGTGTGCGGTGGGGCCCGCAGGCCTGAAGAACGGATCAGATCATCTACTATACGCCTACAGTCTTCCCCCGATTACAACGTACGGTCATTATAACTGAATTTGGGGCATCTTTCAGTCTAAATTCAGCTATAACGACAGTATGTTGTATTCGGGGTAAGACTGTAGTCTGCTGGTAACTTTTCAGTAGGCATTCAGTTATCAGACCAGCCAAACACCACTGCAGTTAGGGAATGCCATTGTCTTTTCTACTATTCCAACAATTCATCCGCTAATGGGCAGTACAGCCACAAGTGAATAGTACCTACGGGGATTTCCTTTTTTTTCACTTTTTCTTTTTCGTTTTTTTTTTTTTTTTTTTTTTTTTTTCCTGCCCTTGTGGCTCCATGGACCACGGATCAGATATTAAACTGACCAGAACAGATACAGTGCACTTGATCTATTTTTAGCCAAAAGGCCGAGAAAGGTATCCTACGAGGATTTCAACTAACTCTTGGTTTTGTTTATTTATTATGGATTAACATGTTAGTTCGTTGGCCCAAGGAGAGCAAACAATAAAATCTACGTGGAACTGGAGCAAATATGGGTTTAATAATTTAGTTACAAAAAAAAAATAAAAAAAATCGAGATCTTCGTGATGGGGACCGCTTTCTACGTTTTTTCCTAGATTTTAAAAGGGCCATGGCCTTGATGTATTATCATAGAACTGACCAGCGCCAGGTAATTGAGAATTTTCATCCATCTAGCTCCATTCGGATTCGACCACACGTCTGTATTTTTCAACAGTTCATCGGTGTATCAACTGAGCCTGAGCTAGGCCCGTTTTTGAACCGCTGAATTGTGATCGTACTCAGTGACATGACTCTTGCTGGGGTTTTGTTCGAGGGCAAATTTGCGATTTGGCGATGCCCAAGTTACAATTCTGGGAGTCGGAAGCGAAGTATGCAAAGTCTGAGATAGAACACATGTATCTGGGATCCTGGACCCGGTTTCCAGCATGTGAGGCTCCCCACCAATAGATCAGAGCACCCGGTGCCCGAGAATACTATGGGAGGATGCTCGTACCACCCCCCATCCATAGCGGACTCGTTACTTCAAAACAAAAAATTCACGATTTTGGCCCTTTTCTGGGATATCAGGTCCGTTGCACCTGCTTCAACTCAGTAGCAGTTTGTGTGCAGTCACCGTTGAATCGGAACAGTGGTGTGTATCTTTGGCTGGACTCTGCTGTTGCTGCTATCAGTGCCTTAAACCACCAGTACGTTTCCCAGCCATTTTGTGAGAACGTGGCCGTGCTCCGCGGTCTGCAGGATGTACCGTCATCAAAGCAAAACAGTCCGTGCACGGGACATAAATTGTGTGGATGTGTGTTTTGTGACGTGGCAGGCCGGTACATGCCACAGAACACCGCGCGCGCATGGCTGCGTTCTCGCAAAATGGCTGGGAAACATACTGGTGGTGTAAACATGTACTGGCGATCTGAGGTTCTTCTGCGGTGCTTGTCAGTTCACTGATGGTATGTTTTGTGAGGCGGCAGGCTGCAAAAAGGCTGGGAAACATTCTGGTGGTTTAAACATGTACTGGCGATCTGAGGTTCTTCTGCGGTGCTTGTCAGTTCACTGATGGTTATGTCTTTCCTCCCCTCCACAATCAAGGGTGATCGGCAGAACCAATCTGCAGCGGACCTCTTATTCACAACAGCTTGGGCCGAGCAGGCATGAGAAGCTTGGGCTGTACGGCTGATCTCAAGGCCCTTACCTCCTTGTTCGGAATGGACATTAACCCTGTGCCTTGTTTCTTCGTACAGAAGCTGAGTAGATGCGACATGTGGGTGGAGCATTGCCGCAAATTCCAAAGCAGCCATGAAGGAAATTTCAAGGTTCGCTTCTCCTCCTCCTCCTCCTCCTCCTCCTCCTCCTCCTCCTCCTCCTCTCGTTTATTTATTGTTGTCGTTAGTGTCACTGCTATTGCCATTGTCATCATTGTCATCTTCTCTCTCCTCTGCCAGTGTTGCTGCCTTCTCCTCGTCCTTGTCCTCCTTTTTGCTGTGGTCCTCCTCAGTGCGGACGTTCCGTTTATGATCTGTCGCCTCTTCCTCCGTCCCCATCTTTCCTTCTCAACCCCATTCTCATTGCCTTCCTGCATTCCTTGCTTTTTTGTCCCTTGCATACCTGTTCCTTGTCTTTTCTTCTTCTTTTGGTCTTTCCGCACCTGTTACTTATCTTTCCTTTCCTTTGCTTCTTTCCTCGCTGCCCCGCCCTGCGCCACCGGCCCGCGCCGCCTCCCCCCCCTCCCCTCCCCCTCCCTCTACTCCTCCTTTGGTTTGTGTGTGTGTGTGTGTGTGTGTGTGTGTTTGTGTGTGTGTGTGTGTGCGCCCACCTATTTCCCTGTTCACATCAACAATTGCTTGTGTTTCCTGTGCTTTTTTTTCATTGATGTTCTTTTTTCCGTTGTTTCTATTTGCGTCAAGCAATTGTATGCATGTCCTCTTTTCCGTTCTTTTTCTAAACCTATCCTTCATTGTCGATGAGCCAAGCAATTGTGCCCTTGGGCTGCTACCGCAAAATGCACATAGGGTGTCTCCATGCAATCTGAAGCAAAAGAAGACGATTGAAAGAAGACCGAAAAAAGTACAGATGCAATGCAAAAAGAAAGCCCGAAAAGAGTCAGAAGCAGGACAGAAACCTAAGTAACCC